GGACCCAATTTCCAGGTTCCCTTCCGTAGGCCCCGCAGGCTCCGCTCTCACCAGCCGGCGCCGGGGATTCCCGGGGAGGCGAGTCCCGCCGGGAGAGCCCACGCCGTGCAGTGCTTCCGCGGGGAACCTCGCCAGGAATAGCAGCCCAACTTGGGAAGGCTTTGGTGCGGCGCCTTTGGTTGGAGAAGGTGGTTCTGACTGATTTATTAAAGAGCTAAGGAATGGATTTATTCGGCGTTTAGAGGGCCACCTTGAGCCATTACGCCACAACTCGAGCTGCTTTCAGTTGCAAACTCTAGTCGCGCTCAATATTAGGCCAAATTTGTTTTTCCTTCTGGGAAGCCTTGGATATGTGTCCGAGAGCGTGAGCACACACGCACACCCACGCTCGCTCGCTCGGAGCCGGGCGACAGGGGCCGCGCCTGGGCACCAGCACGTGTGACTGACTATCCAGTTGTCCTCTCTCACCCCAGGATCCTCTTGGCAGGAAGGATTAGCTAACAGCTCGCTTCGGCTTACTCAGAGCTGCCATTGACTGAAGGGCCGACCCCAATGAATGATTAATGATGAGCGCGCTGCGTTTCAGGAAACCTGAGAACCGAGCATTTCAGTGCGTGCAATGCCCCTACTGTCATTTATCTGAGAAATATACCTGACTTGCATTCTTGGAATATTTCTGTCTGAAAACACATTTGCAGCTTTGAACTACGCTCTGATACATTATGCATTGGTCACGTTAATGAAAAGGCTGTGATTTTAACCGATAAGGTCAATTCACATAAGCCAAGGTTGCCGCTAAGATATGGCATTATCCGTTATTGAGTACCCACTTAAGGATTCCCATTTCCATAATGAAAAGCATATAAAAAGCATGTAGCTTTTTTCAGGACTGGAAATCGTCCACGGCTAGAATACATAATATCGAGGCAGCTGTAAAAGGAAGTCACCTTGACAACTTAGTAAAGCCACCGGGAAGAAAAAAGAGGACACCACACATAGATGTGCATAGCTCGGCACAATGCCCCTGACACACTAGATAAGATGCTGTCCTGGGCTGAACACCCCTTCTCTCCCCACTGTGGGAGGCTGGAGCTCTGTGCTAACTACTTAACTAGTAAGTAGGCAAAGCAACCCTGGACCTTGAAAACAGACACCTGGTCGCCCCGAATGGTTCCCTTGACCTCTTTCCAGGGTGAATAATTGTGAGATACTGGGACTGAACGCTGTGCCTTCTGTGAGCGAAGCCCTTGAGCCTATGACAAAACTGTCATGGTTTAAGGCCTGATGGTGCTGCTGAATGCCACCAGCACGTTTTCCTGCATGTCACTCAGTCTACCTACCACTGATGCCTCCAGTGGCAAAGATTTTCCAACGCAAATCTAGGTGTCTATCCGCCCAGGCCCCTTATCTGCTGAAAGAGCAGGAGAGTGGATCCTGACCGGACACACTGCCAGCCTCCTCCCCAAACCCTGGGGGTGAGGTTTGGGGCGGGGGAGAGATAAGACCACTCTGGGGCCAAGCTTCTGGAGTGGAGATTCCACCTCTTATTTCTTCTTTGTTTCAGCTTTCAAGCCCCACCTCTACTGAAACAGCCATTCTTGCATCTCTCCTTCCTGCAAGATTCCAGTTGGAGATCAGATTTTGTCTAAGAATGACCCAGGCAGGCCAAGACACCTGCTTGGGCTTTAGTCCATTTCAGCCTGAAGGATGGCAAGGTGCACTCCCACTTCCTCCGGGGTCCCAGGGTGAGACTTTAGGAAGAGCTGGGCACTTGCTATGGGAAGGAAATGACCGGTTCTTGTGGGCAGTGATTGAATGCAGCAAATCAGACCCCAAGGCCCCTTCTCAACTCTCTTGGGTACTGGGGGTTTAAAAAAAAAGAGAATGTGCGCTCTTAGAACCGCATTGGCATGGTGTGGGGAAGCAAATAGGGTGGATGCCACTAAACTTGAAAAATCTGTAACAGGAGTGTTATGTGTTTGGATTTTTTTTAAAGACCTGCAGACACTGAACTGTGAAAGGTGGCAACACTGGGCGCATTTTGCCTCTGAGCCTCCAGCCCCGTCCCCCAAAGCCCGGCTGAGAGAGGAACGCAGCGCTGTGCGCTCCTGGGCTGCGCCCGCCCCGGCTGGCACGCCCTCTAATCCACCGCACGCTGCATCTCTGCTGCGCCGGCGTCGGAAAACTCTGCTTTCGGGGGAAAAAAATTCATTTCATCGTCTGGGCTATTCCAGGCTCTATTTCCGTAAATTCCACTCGACAGAGAGTGCAAGCCTTTAGCGCGTTCTGTTTTCCGCGGTTGTAATCAATGGCCCCCTGGCTGTAGACGTTACCCTGGTCCACTCACAAGTCACAGAGTCTAATCAAAGCCGCCAGGATAGGGGGGTGCGCGGTGCTGTTGTTAATTCCCACGCTCTCCCAGCCCGGAAGCAAGGTTGGGGAGAGGGTGCACGCTCCTGGCTACCTGCAGAGAGAAAGGGAATGCTTCCCAAAGACCAGTTCTCAGCCCTGGCCACCGGAAAGGGGGCCGAAAAACTAACTAAACGGGTTAATGCTTCCCACCGGCCACCTAGGAGCCAGGCTCCCAGTGCGCGCATTACCTCCTGGCCGAGTCCCCTGGGACTCACCTTCCGCAGCTCCTCAACCCCTTGGCAAGTTCGGAAGCCCCACCACCTCAGGCTCGCCTTTCCCAAACCCAACACCTGAATCTTCTTTCCTGGCTGCTTCCCCCAGTTCTGCGCGAGAAAAGGAGAGGGAGGGGTGTGAATAGCTGTAGGTATGATCCAGTCAGTCACTAGCTACAGGAATCAACTCAAAACCTGTATCCTCAGGCTGGCACCCAAAAGCCTAAGGAGAGAGAGGGGTGAGGGAGAAGAAGTCAATGCGCACACTTCCCTTCACTGAAGGGACAAGCCTCCATTCACAAGCTTCCTCTGGTTGCACACAGACGCCAGACCTCCCTGAGGCCAGTGCTCCCAAGGCAAGGCCGCCAGGGCCGGGTCCGCCCCTTGGGGCATCTGCTGGGACTGAGGGAAGGATAGGAGGTAGATAGTAGGCTAAGGTGAGCAACCCTGGACAGTGCAAGACACAGTGTGTGGAAAAGGAAGTCACTTTGACAACTTAGTAAAGCCACTGGGAAGAAAAAAGAGCACACCACACATAGATGTGCATAGCTGGGCACAATGCCCCTGACACACTGAAACCACGCTGCTGCCCTGCCAGTGGACCTCGCACACGCATTGTTCAGAGGGCCTCGGTCAGTCACACCAAATCTCAGCTCCTGGAGGTGACCGCAGTCCATGAGGTTTACCTGGTCTGAAGTTTGTTACCCTGGAAAACAAGGATGGATTTTCTTTGTTTGATCCAAGCAGACAAGAGCCCAGAGGTTTTTAGAATGTTCTCCTAAGTGAGTTGCTTGAACCTGTCCCTAAAAGACCCCGTGGCCTTCCCTCTCCATTCCTGCCACACACTCAGAGGCCGCATCCAGATAGCAGGACCACTTTTTGCTAACCAGGTCCCTGGGGACTCCAGAGCGACTTCTAGTTCCATAGGTGTTGAATGGAGGCGCAGTTGCATTGTGGGAGGAATCAGGGGCTGCCCCTGCTGGGGCCTTCAGTTGGTGTTCTTGCCAGGACCCTCTATTTCCTCCAGGCCTGGCTGCTCACCAGCCAAGTTGGCAGCAAACACACAACCAATAGCCTGTGGCTAAAGAAGCGCTGTGCAGGCTGAGAGGGTAGGAAGGGCCGACTGTGAGAAGGAAACAAAGACTAAGCGTGTACATGCAGGGTGAGGATGGTGTGATTGGAAATTCTGCAGGTCCTGTGGTTAGATCTCTTCCTCTTTCTCCAGGTTCTATTACTTCCCTCCAAGGCGCATGTGTTTTGAAATGGCCGTAGGCAGCTGGTCTTCTCTATATCTGTGGAGTCAGAAAGCAAAGCAATGTTTTCTAGTAGAAAAGGTTTTGTGACATGAATTGACTCAATGAAATCAGTTACTTTAAAAAAGAAAAGTAACTGAAAGTTCATCTATGAAGCTCAACTCAGCTTCTGGTACATCCATGCACTGATTCCCAAAGCACTAAGGCCCCAGTTATCTCAGCATGCACTATCTAATTGCAGGAAAGTAACCACTCTTAAAGGGTTACTAGAAGCCCTTTACCTTGGCTGTGGCCAGGCAAAGAAGATGGAGGATGCAGTTCCTTGGGCTTGTTACACTGAGTGCAAAAGTCATTTTTAAAGATCATGTCATCATCCCTTTTCCCCACTCTGTCCTTTGTAATGGGTTCTGTTCCTGGCACATCTGTATATAATAATGCCTAGAGAAGTCATTCTGAGTACAGGTGGAAACATGTGGTACTTCCAGTCTTAATTCCTTATAACAAGAGTGGAGAATCAGAGACTTCCCTCATCTATGAGAGAGAAAGAGGGTAAATTAGAATTGCTGCTATTGGAATAGCTCTAGCCTTCTGGATGTTCGGGTTGTATCAGAGAGACAGGCCATAGGCAAATGGGCACTCATTCAAGAAAAATGAGGGTGGGGGGAGAGAGAGAAAGGAAGCACAGTGTCCTCTTCTAACACGTCCATCTTGTGCCAAGTG